ACACAAGCACACACACACCCACACACACTCACACACACACCACACACACACCACACACACACGATGCAGTCAATCTAAACTGTCTGTCATATTCATGTCTCATTAATATGTATGCACTGCTCCTCAATATTCATGAGCTGTGAGTTCGTGTTGTTGACAGCTGTTGATCTGAAGCGAGCTGAAACATTATTCATGTGATCACGTGATCGATTAATAGCAGAACCGGATCATTTAATCAAACACCAAATCATAATCAGTTTAGTGAAGCAGGAACTCCGAGTGACCGAATGATCGGTGTTGCGTGTGCGTAGCTCCTGGTTAAACTAGTTAAACTAGTTCAGCTGCCCGGTGTGAGTCTCACCGGTATCCGCGGTTGGAGCTTCTGGGCGGGATTCGGTAAACATGAACCTCTGGCTTCACACACAGAACCGACTCATACTGATCGCTGCTATCCGCCATCATCGCCGCAACACAGCCGACACATCCCTTCCGCTTCCGCTGCGGACGGCACAAAATAAAAGCCCTCCATGCGAGCGCAGAACGCGAACACTTCCGTGTGAGATAAAAGTCCCGCGTTCAACAACATCCGTGTCATTCTGTGATATTATACTTCATAAATTCAGCGTTCATAATTCATGTCGAAGGACGCGAGGTGACAGTTTGTCTGAAACAAACACAGCAGCATTACAGAACTGATTCAGTAGAAACACTGAATTAATAATCAATGCTTTCAAAGGGAATTGTGTCTTCGGTTCTGCTCTTGTAACTGATGATAACATTAAAAAAATTATCACATAAATATTTACTAAAAAATGTTTTTAATCTAATTTATAAACATTAACTAGCAATTACGTACTATGTTGTAAAGACATTTAACTGTGATATTAATTTATCTTGTGCAAATAATCGCAGAAACATCTTTGGTCAAATTCCTGCACATTTATTAAAGTTCACATCATGCCCATCTTTCAACAAAATGTTTTATATATATATACACATGAAGATATAGCTAAATTTAAAATACATAAATGTAAATTTGGGGAAAATAAACAGTTGTTTTTTTTAAGACAGAAGTTCAATACCTAAAAACTGTTTCAAATTTGAAAAAAATAAGAAAGCTGTAAAATGTGTAAACATTATATAGATTTATTTCTAATATGTGTATACTAAGTATATTTAGGCAAATACCTACATTTAAAACTTACTGAAATATTAACATGATTCATTTCAAAGCAGAAATTTAAATGTGGATGATTTAAAACAAGTTCATGTGGAAATCGGGTAATGGTAATACATTTTTAATTACTACATATATTTACCATGAAATTAGTGTTATTAAGCAAAATATGTAAATGAATAATAAATAAACAGAAGGAACAGGAAGAGTCTCATTCAGAAAGAGAGAACAAACACACTGAACTTTTCATGAATATGAGCGCTTCAGGACTGCGAACACAAACCACACTGAGATATTTCCATGTTCTTGAGTTTGTCCTGGTGAAGAACAGTGAACAACATCTGAAACCAAAGCCACCGAACGGGTCAACACCCATTCACTGAAGACTACCCAGCATGCTGTGTTTCTAAAACAGACACTGTTACCCGGTACACAAAGATTGGTCTAAAAAATGCCCCCCCACCCGGTGACGTGTAGACCCTACAAAACGAACACTCAGGACACCAGTGAAGCCACACAGCGAGCAGAAGAGAGTCTGTCAGAGGCGCCGAGGGCTCGGGTGGCCGTTGTGGAAGAGCTTCTGTTTGACATGCACCACGTTATTCCCGCCGTCCTCCGTCTGGCGCGTCTGCAGGCGTCTGCGCAGCTCTCGCAGGCTACACACGCGCGACACCCAGCGCCACGAGCGCCACACATCGCCGTCCGCACCTGAAACAGCACCATAATACAGTCAGCTCCTCAGCCCTGTTTCACATTCCTGAAGAACGGCTGTTTGATACAAGAGTCAAAACTAATATTTCTCAATTATCTGATTAGCGACTTCTCATTAAAGATGTCAAAGTTTTGAATGTTACCGTGTTTTTACTGCATTTTCACCTTTTTTATTCATTTAAAAAAATGAGAAATTATATGACATTTGAAATTACACATGACCCCAAAATAATTTATTTTAATTAAAATAATAATTAAAAAAATTATATAAAAAATAAAATA